TTTGGTCCAAATTTCCCCCCTCTGTCTCCCTGCCCCCCCCCTCCCCCTTCCCCCTCCCTCCCCCTTTTTTTTTGCCTTGTCCACTGCCTGCTGTCCTCCGATTACTCACCTTCTTCGTGTACTTGGCTGCCATGGGCGTGTGACCTCCCATGTAGAGTGAATCCGAGTCGTCCATCCCCCAGATGATGGTGTGCAGCGACCTGGAGAACGTGTTCATCCCCATCCACAAGGGCATCTACTGCGAGCCGGCCACCAGTCAGGGCCGAGCCAGCCTCCTTAGCGTGCTGGACTTCCTGCCGTCGCACTTCTCGTGCATTGGCTCGCCACATGCGGGCTTTGCCGCGGCCGTTGACGCGGCCCAGAAGATTCTTGTACGTTGGCTTTCATTGTGTCGCGCTCTCTCTCTCTCTCTCTCTCTCTCTCTGCGCCTCCCGCCTCCTTCTCCCTTCCCGCCTTTCTCTCTTTCTCCCTCTCCCTCGCTCCCTCTCTTCTGTCAAGCATGGGTTCTAATGTGTCCTCTCCACCACTCGCTTCAGGTTGAGTCCGGCGGCCGCGTTGTGGCGCAGCTCTGCTCGCTGCCGACATACGGTCCTGGCAGCCTGCTCTCGCGCGGCGACGAGCGTTCCGTCCTCAACACCGACGGCGAGAAGGCCTGGTTCGGGCCGCAGGGCAAGTCCAAGTTCTATGACAACATGGCCAAGACCTTCGTCAAGGCCGGGGTCAGTTTGGACCTGTTCCTGACGTGCCCGCTGCCATCGGCCGATGCCCGCACGACGTCCCTCAGCAACTCGGCCCAGGTGCTGACCAGCCCCAGTGGCGCGGCCTTCATGGACGTGGCCACCCTGGGACATGTGCCCCTGCGGACGGGTGGTCGGACCTTCCACTATCCCCGGTGGTATGCGCCGCGCGATACCATCCAGCTGACCGAGGAGGTGGCCCGGCGGGTGAGTCAAACCCAGGGATATGACACCCTGTCGCGCATTCGCACCAGCACCGGTGTGGACATTGCCTCGTACTATTGCGGTCTGGCGGAGCCTTCCAACTCGGATCTGGCGGTGCCATTGATGGATTCGGACTTCGCGCTGGCCATCAAGATGTCGTACGATTCGAAGCTTGATGACTCGCCGGTCATCGTCCAGTCGGCCACCCTCTACACCACTCCCTTCGGGCAGCACCGGGTCCGGGTGCACACCTTGGCCCTGCGCACGACCACCTCCTCACAGGCGACCTTCCAGCATGCGGACATGGATGCCCTGGCCGCCTACACCTTCAAGCAGGCGGTGTACAGTTGCCTGTCCGAGGGGCAAGCCGTGGCCGAGGCCAAGACCAAGCTCCTGAAGCGCGCGGCCGCCCTGTTGGCCGCCTACCGAAGCCAGTGCTCGTACCAGACCCCGGCTTCGCACCTGGTCATGCCCGAGACCTTGAGCACCATCCCGCCCTACCTGCTGGGCATGTGCAAGTCCAGCGCTCTCGGGACGGCTCTCGATGGGGAGATGTCTGTCGACACCCGGGTGGCGGCCATGCATTCGGTCTTGTCGTCCGGTGTGGCGGCTCTCTTGTTGCTGCTGTATCCGGTCATGTATGACCTGACGCCGCTGCTCCAGGCGCCGGGCTCGTCGCCGGCCGGAGCCGCCGGCGCCTCCGCCGACGAGAGCCCCGGGTCCCCGGCTCGTGGTCTGCCGCTGACGCGTCTGTCCAGCACCTGCCTCTCGCCGAGTGGGCTCTTCCTGTTGGACAATGGCCAGCGTATGTTCCTCTGGCTGGGGCACTCGGTGCCGGTGGGTTACCTGCAGCAGCTTCTCGGGGTCGACCGACCGGAGCTGGCCAGCTCCCTGAGCGATACGTCGGCCGATCCCCTGCCGGTGCTGGACACGCCGATCTCCCGGCGTGTCCGGCAGCTGGTCAACATGCGCCGATTCCAGGCCACTGGAGGGTCGCTGTCGGCGCCGGCCGGTTCCGGGCGCTGGGCTCCGCTGCAGATTATCGTGCAGAAGTCCACCCGCGAGGCGCGCTTCCACGACCTGCTCATCGAGGATGCGTCGAATGCCGGGCGTGCTCTGCCGCCGCTGTTGGTGGATCTTCATCAGCGCATTTGCGCCGCCAACAGCAAGTAAGCATCTCCCCCTCGGGGGAGGAGGGGCCGAGCCTCCTCCCGTGTGTCCCGCCTTCCCAGCGACGACGGGAGCCACACTCCTCGTTCTGCACCCGAGAATGCGTGGTGTGGGCTCCTTCTCATGTGTGGCCCCCCCCCCCTCCCCCCCTCCCCCGGCGTAAGCTTGCTCCACTTTGGCCTCCTCC